TATATATAAAATAATAATTAAAAGAAAAAAAAATTTGTTTTCAAATTATTACTGATTTGATTTTTAATATGTTAAAAATAATCAGTCCAAATTTTCATTTTTAACCTATTTTTTTGGTTCTTTAAAGTTGATGAAAAATTTTTGATAAAGATTTATGAAAGTTTATAGTAAAAAAAATTAAAGAAGAAAAATTAAAAATTAAGAAATTAAAATAAAGAAGTTGTATTTTGCTTTATTTTTACGTGTATAAAAATTTAAAGGGCTTGATACAATAAATTTAAATAAAAACTGTTTGTTACTATAAATAAATGCACTGAACTACAAGAAACTTTCATCAGTAACAAAAATATACCATTCTAAATCAACTTTTCGCGATGTTTTCAAATCTGCAATTATACTTTTTCTAACACTTCTAAGTTTTAATATCATTAAAAATTAGTATTTTTGTATGAAAAAAATACTAAAGCAATACAATTTGCAGAACAAAATAATACTAAAAATATTAACCCTATTAGTCGTTGAATTACATATTTAACATTGAATAAATGTTATATATTTTGTGGTAATCAATTATTCAGTTAAGAGTTTATTTATAAGTTATTACTACGATTTCGACTTTTGTTGTCTCCGTTATACGTATTTTATATATGATTTTGTATTTTAAATCAGCGAATTAAAATTATTTTAGTATCAAGTAAATTTATTGTAATAAACGTATTACAGTAATTTTTTTTTATAGTAGTCCATTTCTAATAATGATTTAATTAATTCAAATTTAACTTGTTAAATTTGTTTCTATAACTTTTTATTATTTATTGTTGTTTATTTTGTCAAAACACTTATTCTACATTAAGACAATCAAACACGTGAATAAAAATTAAAAATAAATTTCAAGCAATTTAAAACTATTTTTATATAGATTTTCCTAACAAAAGATTTAAGAACAGACTAGATAGAATTTTTTAAAAATAATATCATCATAACATTCTTATTAGATTCATGTAATATTATTTGTTATAGTAATGTTAAAAATAAATGAATAATAAAAATAAATTATATATATTCAATTTATCTTTAACAAAATGTTTTCAAACCTTAAAATTATAAAATAATCAATATATTATGCCAAAATTAGCTTTTCTTTATGTATAAAGAAATTTAATTTTGACATCATAGTTCAACACTACCTTTAAATAAATTAAACAATATTAACTACTAGAAAAGAGTGCAAAAGAAAGTTGAATAATTCTCACACACTTACTATTAAGTATTATTATTAATATTAAATACTATTTTTGATATTTCAAAAATGAGTTAGAGTATTAAAATAAATGAAATTATGACTATGATTATAATGTTAATGATTATAAATATTTATCATAAACATTTTTTTAATGAACATTCAACAAATTAAATTGACTATATTATTTTTGGCAATTTCAATAAAAGGCGTAGTAGTAAGCTAAAATGTTTGTGTCATGCATTTTAAGTAGTTAATTAATACGCCTTATTAACTCTTTACTTTATATTAAAAATAAATTTACAAAAAATAAATTTATTATTTTCATACGGAATAAACTAAATAAATATTTAACAATTCATACTTGTAATTCAACAAAAATGTATTATTGGAAATAAATTTAAATAAAAAAATGAATCACAATCATTGTGCATGCACATGTGTGATTCTAAATTATATTTTTAACATCATCATATACGTGTTCTTAAAAATGGTGTTAATTTTTCGACACTAAATATAAAAATTATGAAAAATATTTTTTTTTTCCAATAAATAAATAATTTATTTCGTTTTTGATTAAAGCTACTTCCGTGACATCTGTTTCATCACGTCAGGCGGCTAAGCGTAGTAGGGCCAACAACAGTGCGGTTAGGTCGAAAAGGTTACGTATGCAATTGACGGATACCAGTGATTTCACCGAGATCAATTCCGCATTGGAGCGGGGAGCCGTTTGGTTTTACCGGAAGAACGTCTAAAATTTCGTGAGCTATCGAGATTTTCTGCGCACCGTTAAACCCGAGNGGAGCTATCGAGATTTTCTGCGCGCCGTTAAACACGAGCTGGTGGCCAGACTCGCTGAAATCGTAGATAACCGTCCGATCAAGTATAATCTCAAATTGGAGGCCTCATACCATATACCGCGATCAGAAGCACCGTCCGAAGACCGTGCCTTTAAGACAGGGGCTAGGGCATTGCTATCCGATACGGATATCGGGTATGCGGTCAATGAAGATTTTGAGCTTATGCTCACCGAGAAAGATGCGTACTCGGGGAGGGAAAGCGGAATCAAGCTAACGCATATCGACGGCTTTATGCTCAGCGTACATAAGTATATAAGTATACNTGAGATAGATGCGTACTCGGGGAGGAGTAGCGGATTCACGCTAACGCATATCGACGGCCTTACGCCCCTCGTCGGCCCATCATATATTCCTGTCCCACCAGAGATTAACCAAAGAAAAGCAATCATCAACCCACAGAATATCGATCAGTCTTGTTTCAAGTGGTCCATTTTAGCAAGACATGTTAGTGGGAGTAATAAATATCGCGTTAATGAAAAATATTTTAACGGGGAACACAGGTATGATTTCACGGGGTTGACGTTCCCCACACCTGTGTCCCAAATTAAAATATTTGAACGACGAAACCCTAACGTGTCTGTCAACGTGTACGGCTTGGAACGAGACGACGATAAGATGAAGTGGTTGGTGTATCCGCTAAGAGTCGCCGACCAAGAGCAACAGAATCATTTTGACCTGTTGTACATCGGTGACTCTGA